CTATATGGAAAGAAGAAAAGAATCGCACAAACGAAATACATCGTTATCATGATCGAATGCAGCAAAACAATAACATGCAGAATATCTACATTATCCTTTTTATAGCCATTTTTTGTGATAAGAAAAAGTGCAATTATCGACTCGACGAACTTTCAAAAATTAATCAAACAATCGTATTCAATTCGGCTAACAAAATATTTTTTGCCCAAAGTATGCTAAAAATTTGCAAAAATTTTTAGCGCTTTGTTCTATAATTCTTAGGAAATCTTCGAAATCCTCAAAAGTTGTATAATTTTTTTTGTTTATTTTTCCTTAGCTAAAAATTAGACGCATCAAATCATTTTAATTTTTTAGGGTGCATTTTGCAATTATAAATATCTTCTCGATGGATCCGCACAACAATAAAAAGTAATAGAACGATGACCGAAATACAATTTGCGAATGTGAAGGATTTTCTAGAAGGAAATTTATTCTATTTGATAGTTTCATTAATGGTTTCATTCTATGCAAAAATTATGAATTGTGGATGACTATGAGATATTTTTTCCGAAATATTTTATGAATTATCTCATATGATGGAATAATAATCTGATAAAAAATTAGTTAGTTTTAAAAATTAGTTAGTAAAAATTTAATAAAAATTAATTGATAAAAAAGATTATTAAATTGATTTGATAACGTTTCATTGCTCTGAAATTTTTGACACTTTTGGATAAAGAATAGAAAGCGAACAACAAATAATCTCATATTATATTTGCAGTGGTGATATGGGAAGGGGAAGGCAAATATAATTGCCACAAATAAAGGGCAGGATGGTCTTCTCATCTTCATTCATGTGCCTGAAAAACATTGTAAAAGAAGCATTCATTGATTCTGGGAAATCCCTAATCAAAAAGGAGCATTTTAAGCGAATCCTGGCCTTTTTTCCGGAACACATAAGCAAAAAATAATTCTCTGCGAAATGATATAATCTCATACAATAAATAGAACTCTGGATCTGGGAGAAAAGTAAGGCAAGTAGGCCTAATTGATTGTGTTATTATATCATTTATTGTGTTATTATATCAACATTTTTTGAGTCGTAAAGTTTTTTTTTTTAGGAAATCTTCAGGAAAATCTTATATTTTTTATTTATATTATATTGTTTTCTATCTTATACAAAATATAAAATTTGGTTATATTAAATAATTATATAAAATTTCCATCTTTTCTTTATATTGTTTCCGCATCAAACTCTTTGAGCAAAATAAAAATGACTATAAATGATAAATGATAATTTTTCATATTTTTTTTGAACATTCGAAAATATAAGACTGCTTAAGAAAAGAAATATAAGACTGCTTGAAGAATTATTTCTATCCCCTCTGATGAGGAGGAAGTTGGTTCATTTGAATTATCAGTAAAACTAGGCACAAATCAAATATGATAAGTACTACAAATAGACAAACTCAATTTGACCACTTTTATCCTTTTTTTTAACAGCACTCAGTGAAGCTTCGATTCTCAGTGGCAATTATCTCATAACTGAACCAAGATCAACACTTCTATCGTTAAAAATTAAGCATCTAATTTTCTAAATAAATAAGAAAGCGAGTTTATAGCGAGTTAATTATCGTAAATATGAGGATTTGAGAGTTAGTATCGAAATCTTTCTCCTTATCTTATGAAAACCAAAAAAAGAACATTTTTTTCTGACCGTCCATATGAATCGATAAAATCTCTCAATACTTTTTATAATATCTGCAAGAAATGATTGCAAGCATGCAAATTTGTGATAATGAATCAATTTTGGTTCATGAATCAAAAGCAAATATTCTTAATTTCCATTGAAAAAAAAAATTCCACTGGAAGCCTCCTGGAGCCAGGTTTATAGTATTTTCCATAGTTTAAAGGTTATGAGAAGTCAGATAAACTGTACTGTAATGCTGAGAATTTCTAATTTCTCTTAGTAGGCAAATACGAGTTTTCTTCATTATTTTAAGTAATTGATTTTTTCCTATTTCATTTTCAATTTTTACAATAATATTTCAATCATAAAAAAACTATCTATCTATTGGCAAATTTTATTAATAATACATATATATTATGATAATAATATATATAATTTTATTATTTTTATCTGCTATGTCAGATGCCATCGTCGACAGTAATTGAAGCCATTCCTTTTTTCATCATCTAAGTCCATATATTACTGGTCCACCTATACGTTCAAAATCTTTCCTGACCGTATCAGCCCATCAGTCTTGATTCGCCCATCTCGCTTTTAACGCCAACCATCACACGGTTTAGCAAATAACGAAATTTGCGTCAACTCCTGTGGTGGACGACGCAGAATGTGCCCTTAACAGCGAAGGCGGCTCTGTGATAACATTATTTATCTAAGTAGTATTTGAACGAAGATGGATGCAATCTTGTGATATTTTATACGCTCGTTGGATCCGTAATATGCACCTTAGACAAGAGTGGTCAAAGGCAGATAACTTCTTAATATCCTCCACTTTCATTAGCCATGTCCAAATCTACATATAACATATAAATTTAAAAAAATTTAAATAAACTTAAAAATTTTTTTGCTGAGCGGTCGTTTCAAAAAATATTTTCTATTTATTTCTGTGAATTTAGTTTTTTTATTTTTGATCACAATTCAGCCAAGACTTCTTAAATTTATAAATTTGAATTTAAATTTACTCTTAAATTTACTTTTAAATTTTTTTTTACCAAATAACGGTTGAAATAAAATAAATTAAAATTAAATCAATTGAATTAAATTATAAATCAAATCAACTAAATTGTATAAATAATGTATATATATATATATATATATATATACATATAGTTATATATATATATATTTCATATACATATAGTTATATACATATTTTTTTCTTTTTAATTTTCATTGTCTATTTTATTATTTTCTTCAAATTTAATTTTTTTTGTCTTTGGTAGGAGTAGGCCTGCTGCTATGTCAAAAATCCGGTGGCTGCGGGGGACCCACCTGTAACTCTATCCCCAAGTGACTCTATGGTGAAAGGGTCAAATACACCCAAATTTATACATAACATATTCGTTTGAGAATTAAAATTTCAAATATTGAGGGTTTTTCAGAGATTTTTCTTTCTCGATTTTTTAAAGAATTAATTCAATTAGGAGATCAATTTTTCAATCAATTTTCAAAATAAGAATCAATTTTTTAAATGGTAAAATTTCAACAATTTTAATAGCCATAATAACCTAATATATCTAAAAGGCTTTGCTAACCTCTTAGAAACATGCAAAAAGATTATTACAATAAAAAATGAAGCATAGTTGCTAATACGAATCCTTACTTATCAAATCATTATAGCATAATCAAACAACATGTGTTGATATTCAAGATACTTGCTTTTTACAGATTTATCAGCCATCAATGTCATTATCATTCTAATCATTATTCTTAAAAGATAAATGATAACTTTTTCATATCAAATAAAAAGCCTATACTTCAAAGCAAATATCAGTAGCCTTGCATATATTTCCTCTTATTCTCGCAGGTAGACATAAATTTCTTTGCATGATACATGACATTAAAAAGATGGAAAAAAGAAAAACTAGAAAATATGGTTTTAGCCTGGATCGATGAGCGGTTAGCCAATTAATTAATTGCTTTCTGGAAGTCACTTAACGATGGAAATACACGTGGGCCTCAAATACATGAGCAGTATTTAGTACTGCTCATAGTCATTGGTAGCTGGTTTAAACCTGTTAAAAACAAGTATCTTGAATATCAACATGTTACCTGATTATACTATAATTGCGAATAGAACGGAGACTTTAAAACAGTGCGAAGATCTCAATAATTTTGACTCAATTTGAGAATATTTTTTCACAAAATATGGCAGATGATAAAAAATATTAAAAGAAATCAACAAATATTACTTCTGAGATTTGGTAACAAATCGAAATCGAACCGAATTAGGTAATTCAAACCCGCATTCAGTTCAAAATTGAATCGATTAAAAAAGATAACTTGAGAGGCGCCGAATAAGATATTGGGTTAATTTCAAAAAAATATTTTTAAATTCGCTTTTATGAGATATCACTGGGTTCCAACGAGTGGATGAAAGTTTGTGACAATATGTTGTCTGAGCCATATAATTCTCCGGTATCTCAGCGGATTCTCATGAATTTAACTTAGTGGAACGAAATTTTAGGACATTTTTATTTGTCGCTTTCATCTTTTCAATAAAAGAATCCAGTATTACTATGACATTGCAAAGGATATCCAGAATGGATATAGAGCACTATTAAAGCTTCTGAAGAACTTGTTCAGTTAGAAACTTTAAAATGTAAGGAAATTTATAGTAGTTTATATTAATGAGGATGTGGATAAAGGAGCACAGCCAATCAAACACTATTCTTTTATAAGTAACTTATTTATTTCTGATGTTTTATCATTAAATGAAGCTGAATTTTTTGTCAGAAAATACAATTTGGCTTGAAAATTTCCCCAGTAATTTTTTCTTAATTTTCTTCTTCTTCTTAATTTATGATATCGAATGAACAATAGCATTTATAGAATTGTTAATAAATTTTCCATAGTTTTTTCTTTCATCGTAATTCATAGTCAGATTTCAACAAATAAACAATTAATATAAAATAAATTGTCGAGAAATTCAAGGGCGACAATAACCACAAGTGAGTCGACACACTCTACTCATTACTTTTCCATATTCACCGATAAAACAGTATTTGGCATTTTCTCGGCATCGAGAATCTGAATCGAAGCAAGTTTTCGTCTGAATAGTGCTATTATTCTCTGAAATTTATAACGAGAGTTTTTATTTATCAGAAATGAAATCTTCGGCAGATATGTCGAAAATGAACCTGGCAAACAATCCCTTAAATTACATGTCTTTTTACATAACTTCTTCATGAAATCTGTGCTGCAAGTTGGATCACCAAGGAGTCTTATCGCGCAATATTCGTCTTGATCTGGACAAGCTCCAAGCGCGCCTGGTCTATCGCAGAGTCCACATGTGTGTGACATCTTCTAATGCAATATCATTCAACCGTTGATCGCTGCACAAGTTGTCTTCATTGTACAATCGTTGACATGCACCTTCTGCTCCCGCTGCTGAAAAAAAAATGTCAAGAAAGATTTTACTGGAATGATATTGGCATCTTTTTAACTATAGAAAGCAAATTTACCATTTGGGCAGTCAAATTGCTTTGTTTTACAACAGAAGGCGCAGTGACTTGAACATTCACGAAGTGCAAGGTTTCGCAAGGTAGGGTTTTCACACAAGTCACTAACTAAATAATTTACCTGTCTGAAAATGCGCATTAAGTATTTCTTAAAGATTTTGTATGTAAAGCCATGCATTTAGATGTAGTAGAACAAATAATATGTTGAAAATCACAATGATAGTTCAAATTATTGAAACTTCTTGAATTACTATAAAATATATAAAGTAGCGACTGAGCCTATTTTCGATTCTCATGCATTTTCGGCTCAGTCATTGCCAAAATTTGCCATACGGAAGTAACTACTATTCTTTTTTTATTATTTACAGAATTGCTTTTAAAAAAATAGCTCTTACGGATTGGCTTGTGCTGCTAGTGTCGCGGCTATTTCGCCATTGTTGGCACCATTTTTGAATATTTCATTACACACACGATCATCTCGATTTGTACATCGGTGTGCATGAATAGATGGTCGTTGAACAGCTCCAACTGTAACAGCGCATGTCACTATTTGTACGCCACCACTGTTCACAACATGGATAAGAGAAATGAAGAAAAAAACGAGCCGCAGCATTTCTGATTTACAGATTCCCGAACTATATTCAACATTTGCACGCAGGTTTTTATTGTGCCATTGTGGCTTTTCATATCAGCGTGAAATTAAACAGTGATTTCCTGTACTTTCCTCAAGCAAAATAATAGAATCTACAAAAATTTGTTTATTCATATGCCAAATTTTTAATTCGATAAAAATCATTCTAAATGAAGAATTTATCGGAAATATATTCTAATAATCAAGATTTTTATTGAATTAAAAATGATTATTATTGAATTATTAAATTTTTTACTAGAATTATTCGTGCAGTTTAAGTTTAAGTGGCGCATGATCTACAAAGATTTTGAATAAGGCAATCGGCGATAAACGGATTTAAAAGGTGGAAAGTGGCGTCGGAATGGAAGACATGCAAATTCACCAGTGGAATATGCCGAAGTAGCAATGCTTCGAAATGCTAAAAGATGAGGAAATTTCGTAAACGTCGCAATTTTTATGAAAAATCCTAATCATTGTTCTTCAAAATTACTGCATAAAAAGTGATCAACATTTAATTATTTTCAGATATTTAAATTTTATATATTATAAAATTTAGCTTTTTAATTTTATCATTCAATTACCATTAGTTACTATTTGATTAAGAAATAATAAATTTATAAATAAATAATAAATAATAATAAATTTCACGAAAAATTATTTTAAAATAAAATTTTGAATTTAATGAAGAATCGCTAGCTATTGTTTTTTATAAAGGCTAAAATTTAAGCCTTTGCCATTAAGTATGAAAAGGAGGCAGAATAACCGTCTGGATAAAAGATTATCATTGCGAGAGCGGAGTTCGCCTTCTGCAGTTGACGGAGCA